AATTGTGTCCATTAGGTTAGTTGTAGTGATTGGTGTGGAGTGTTTGGTTTTTTTATTACAGAAATAGTAAAGGAAGTGATGATCAGCTGGTTTTGTGATGATAGAAGAGGACAGGACTTGTGATATGGAAAATAGTTTGAATATGAAACTCTATTTGATGAGTGATGATGGATCAGATGAATGCATTTGTCCCTAACGGAAAGAAAATATGACTGTTGCGTAGTCCATGTAAAATATTTCTCTTGTTTAAGGGATAATGGTGTTAAGGATTATTATGTTCTTGGATTCAGTCAAGTGTTTTTATGTGGTATAATATTGAGATTGAGATCAAACTCAGAAATACACAGTGAGGAAGGAGGAGAGCTCGAGAGAAACTGAAAAGACACATATTATTTCTGATTGTGTAAAAGTGAAGTATGAGGCTAGGTTTACAATATTTATATGAGTACAATATGTGCAATAGTTGCTATTGTAGAAGTAGCAACTTTACAATACTTTTCCAACTAATACAAAGAGCTATTAATTAACCTATTCTAATACAATATTATTATATAATAAAGCCAACATAACCTCATTTAAAATGCGCTAGGTTCGCTATTTAGTGCTTAATTGTGCAAATTGCAGCATGGCGTTGGTTTAGTCAGTAAAATTTTGTAATCTTTCTGACATCCTAGAGACCTGGTTTCACATTTTTTACCCCTTGATATCTATTTTGTTACATATGTATAGGGAACTGCATTTTCGATGACAGAACGTGATCGTCTTGACCTTCGTGGCTTACTGCCTCCCAATGTCATGTCTTCTGAACAACAAATCGAACGCTTTAGTAAGTAGTCCTCCAGCACTTTATGATACTGCTTTGACTCTTCAATACTCAATCTGACATGTCATTAATCATATCATTTAGTTAAGGGTAAATTAATTTCGAGAAATAAACTCTGGCATTTAACATGAATTAGTGTTTCATTCCAATGCGGGGAATGTTTATATGCTCTCTGCTTTTGTTTGTTGTTCGGATTTCTGCAAACAGTAGATGTGAGTTTTGGCCTTACTTTAATTAGCAGGAACTTGTTGTTCAGTTATTTTAAAAGCAATGTTGGTGGTTTTTGAAGGATGGATCAAGTCTTTCAAGTCTACTTTATATCTTAAGTTATAGCTGTATATCAAAATGGAACGTCCTTGACCGCTGAAACATGATTACTGAAATTTATTACTTAATACTTTTGTGTTTCAAATTTCAATTATTTATATTGATTTTAGTAAATTTTTTCCTTTTGTTTACAAATCATAGTGGCTGACTTGAAGAGGCTCCAACTAAGTGCTAGAGATGGTCCATCTGATCCATACAGCTTGGCTAAATGGCGCATTCTGAACCGTTTGCATGATAGAAATGAGACGATGTATTATAAGGTTAGTGATGAAATACTTCGTGCCATTATATGCAGTTTATCATATCCTACGGTGACAATGAGGGTTGCCAATTGCCATAATGTAATTTGACAAATATAATGGTGGATATCAAACTACATAATATAATAATTTGACAAATATCTAGTAACCATTCTGAATCAAGCTGCTTTGCATGTGATCTTATGCAAGACCCTAAAAGTCTATACTGTGAGTGCATTATTTATTGTGCCACACGCACTCTTGAAGGTCAATCTCTTGTAGTTCTTAGGAAATTAGTAATCATACTTGTTTAGTTGTAACCGCACATTAGTTACTGCAGACTAATATTTATATTTCAAGGGAAAGACAAAATCATTTACGTAAATTTGGTTGGTAAAGGGAAGTCATAGATGTGGGTAGTGAAGTCAATATAGGTGCAGCTTCTTGGTTTTAGTTAACCTTCGTCGATGATGAAATATTCTTGAACTTTTAGGCTTCTCTATAAAAATGAATTGTTGAGGGATGCGGTAGTTACACCATGATATCCACTCAGTGCACTTAGCTGTCTGTTAATGGTCATTAATTGAACGTTTGAGCTGCTACAGGCCTTTTTTACTTTCCAGTTGGAACTTGGGTAACTTGCATACTTCAAAATAGTTTTTTCTTGGAGGAAATTATTTTTGGCTTGTGAACTTGATTGTAACACCAAATTATGAACAATCCCTTCTAAACTCCAGCCCCGGCATTTCTCTTCATTTTGATCTTATATTTCAGGTTCTTATTGACAATATTGAAGAATATGCACCTATAGTCTACACTCCTACTGTTGGTCTCGTATGCCAGAAGTACAGTGGCTTATTTAGGCGGCCTAGGGGGATGTATTTCAGCGCAGCAGATCGTGGAGAAATGATGTCAATGGTTTACAATTGGCCAGCAGATCAGGTTTATATAGGAATGTTATTTCTGAGTCACTCTCCCGCTGCATATATTTTGATGTTGAACAGGATAGCAGTTATTTAACTGCTTTTTCATAAAAGATTACAAATTGTACATTGGCTTACTGCATGTACCTTTTTATACATTGCTATAAAATCTACTGGCACTATAGTTAATAATTATTACTGATATTGGCAACTAGGATTATATCTTCTTTCTTTAGCTTGTCTCCTTGAAAGTGAATTTCTTTTGATGTTGATACTCACTGTTTAGGTTGATATGATTGTTGTAACCGATGGAAGCAGAATATTGGGTCTTGGAGATCTTGGAGTTCAGGGAATTGGAATTTCAATTGGGAAATTGGATCTTTATGTCGCTGCTGCAGGCATAAACCCACAAAGAGTAAGAACCAACCTTATTCTTTTGACTTACAGCATTGCATGAGATGCTTTATGTGCGATACAGTTTAACCTGAGCTTGCTGCCAAGTTCGCAAACTTTTATGAATAAAGCTTTAACAATGAATTAAATAACAATAATCTGAGGCATTTTTTGAACTCTATAAACAATAATTTTTTAGGAGCTAAACAGGTAAACATTTAATGAGATCCCCTCTTCCAGAAACAAATAGCTAAATGAAGGCAGGAAAATTTTGGAGATCTTTTGATAGTTTTCCTGTGATAGGGTAGATTAACTTAGAATTTTTCATTGTGTTCGCAATGATTTTGGATATTCCCTTTGCATATCAATGGTGGAAATAGAAACTACTGTATTGTGGAATATATGTTTGGTATAGTTTCTTTTGTTTTCTTATCGTAGTTTTTGGTGTGGTATTAACTTCTTTGCTACTGAAAGTTTGTGAAGTTCTGTTGCCCTGTTTCTTTTATTTGATTATGATTTGGTCAACAAAAAAGGAACTCGCGTCATTGACGAACATACACATTACCTGATGAATACCTTTGTGTTTTGTTGTTCTGCTTTGTAGATCATGTTCAGTCAGCCTTATCCTAATAATCCATGATGAGTTTTTATCTATTTCTGTAGGTACTCCCTGTCATGATTGACGTGGGAACAAACAATGAAGAGCTTCTGAAAGACCCCTTGTGTAAGTATCTTAGGATCATGTTAATCATGTAATGGGAAACTCTTCTAAATTGTGAATTCATTTAAAAAATTTCTTCTTTTCTTGCTTTAATAGTATCAAATGAGGCCAACCCAGCATTTTGTGGGTTCCTTAAAAAATTAAAATTATTATTATTATTATTATTATTATTAAAGTTGTGGCAGTTGTATTAACTTAGTAAGGTTGTAACTGTTAATGTCTTAGTTGTCAAGTTGTATTCATGAAGTTGGTGCAATGCAGTTCTGCCGATAGTTGTGTATGTTGACAAATCAGCAATTCCGAGTTGTTTCTAATTACAACTTCATAATTTAATGCAATGGTCTTGAAATATTATGTAAGTTACATTTGTTCAAGTTATTTGAAGATTTAAGGAAGTTCTTAGTGTAATAGGAACCTTCACATCCTACCAAATTATGTCAAGTCTTTCTGAGATCAAATTTCAAGTTACTAATATTATTTGCTAGATGCTTTTCTTTAAGTTGGTCTAATGATCCTTGAGTATGACAATGATCTTATTACTGTTTCTTCTGCAGATTTGGGATTGCAAGAGCACCGCCTTGACGGGGAGGAATATCTTGCAGTTATAGATGAATTCATGGAAGCTGTATTTACCCGCTGGCCTCATGTGATCGTCCAGGTAACACTTTACTGGGTCTGACTGTAGATTGTGTAACGATTAATTTGTTATTAATACACGTGACCAATTCTAAGTTACTGACATGCATATGATATGTGCAGTTTGAAGATTTTCAAAGTAAGTGGGCCTTCAAATTGTTGCAGCGTTATAGGAACAACTACAGAATGTTCAATGATGATGTTCAGGTTAGTTAAAGATCTGTAGTTCATTTCACTTTACTATTGATGTTCAGGCTAGTTAACGATCTGTAATTCATTTCACTTTGCTATTGGAGAATTGTAGACACTACACCAAATGATGATAACTGTGGTAGTGTGGTGTCAATTTGTACTTACTATCAATCACGGTCTTAGTTTCAGTATTGAATAAACTGATAAGAAGCCAAAGCATTTCTGTTTGAGACATTATATATTAGTGATGAGCTGTTACATGAACTTTAATTTCTAGTGACAGTTAATTAACTAATTAAAAAACCTGATTAACCTAACATTCAGTGACTAAGGGTGTGTTTATTAAAGAATATACTCAAAACAAATTAATTCTACTCAAAATTTAACTCAACTTTAACTCAACCCCACTATTCTCAATATTATCAATATAATTAAATAATAACAACCAATCATTTTTACACATTATATCAACTTTAATTCACTATTCATCCACTCACATAATTTTAACTAACCATCACATCATATCATCTCTCTCCTTCTTTTACATCAAACCAATTTTAATTATTTTATTTTCAATATTATTTTATATAAACTCAAAATCCCACTAACAACTAACTACACCACTTTTTCTAAATTAACCCTAGTTAACTAAGAAAAATTCACTTTGAGTTAATTCATTCAAATTATTCCTTTAACAAACACACCCTAAACTTACCAATATCATAAAGAGGAACCTCTCTACCTTTTCACATGTTTTAGTTGTATAGACTTAGTGATTAATGGTGTAGAGTGTGGTTCAGTTAATTATATCTTCAAACAAGTTAGCATAAGTAATCTTGGTGAATAATATTTGGAAGTAAAACAGAGTTGTGTAATTGTTGTGGTCCTATGTAAGAATGCATTTATATATCAAAGAAAAATAAAATGGACTTCTAGTATAAATCATTTATGTGACAGCCTTCAGAATTATTAGTCAATTATGTGTGAGGTTGAATGCCAATATACCTATCAGGGAACAGCCGGTGTTGCTCTTGCCGGTCTTCTAGGAGCTGTCAGAGCACAAGGAAGACCAATGATTGACTTTCCAAAGATGAAGATTGTAGTTGCTGGTGCTGGGAGGTACCTTTTTCATGATCTTAATTGCTTTTAATCTTTTTTTTTTTTTTTTTTTTTTATTTTTTTTTTTTTTTTTTTTTTTGGTTCAAAATACGAATCATTAAAACTGTGATTACAGTGCTGGGATAGGCGTTCTCAATGCTGCAAGGAAAACAATGGCAAGAATGCTAGGGGACACAGATATTGCTTTTGAAAGTGCGAGGAGTCAATTTTGGGTAGTTGATGCTAATGTGAGTTGCTTGTCTACGATGCTGTCCTATATATTTGAGATGTGAACTGAGGAATACATGATCACTAATTGAGCTGGAACACTTCTCTGAATTTGTTGTTTTCATTTCTTGACATGGCAAAATATTCTTAAACAGTGCCCAGTAATGAACGTCTAATGCTTCTATGATTTAGGGACTAATAACTGAGGCCCGTGAAAACATTGATCCAGACGCTCGCCCATTTGCTAGGAAGGTCAAAGAAACTGAACGACAAGGGCTAACCGAGGGGTCACATCTCGCGGATGTGGTAAGAATGAAACCTTCAATGTCTCTTTGGTATTTGATGTTAAACTAGTAAATGTTCTGACTATTCTATTCTTCCACTCTAGCGTAAGTGTGAAAAAAAGGCTGGCTAATGATAACTTAAGGCTCTTGCTATCTCCTAAGTTAGTTGTATCAATAGAATTTTTTTAATACACCATTGTATGTGATTTCCAATTGAGAAATGAAATGAAACTCCAGAAATTAATATCTCGAACATGGAACATATTACTGTTGGAATGTTCAAAAGCTTCTCTTCCTGATCACAAACCTACTTCTATATTAACAAGAGCTCTGCTTTATTGAAAAACCTCTCACTTTTTTGTTTGGTAGAAAACTGAGTTTAATAGTGCTTCTTTTAACTCTTCTGTGATTCAAACAGTTACATTCTGAATTTCCCAAGTGGAATTCCAATGTTATTCTAGATAAGCGCCCACCAAGTTTTATGCCTTATGTTACAATTATGCGGTTCTTACCATTGAACAACTTGACCATTTTTCTGTACCGATTATTTCAGAAGTATTTCAAAAAGGGGAACAAAAAAAGAAACAATTGGTAGGCTATAGCATCAGAACCAAGTTGCCATATCCCTTTCATCATCTCCAAGTTTACTAGTTAATCTGCATGGAGACTAGCTTATCAACCTGACATCAGGAACTAAGAAGTTGTTTGCACTAGTTGAAGGCCAACTTACACGCAGTGGCCTTTAGAGATTTTGCTGTAATATGCCTCCTTACCATTTTAGATTACTTCTTTTGGCAAGTGAATTTGAACAAAACCTTTTCTGGTTCGCTGTTATGTAAGTGCAATTAATTTGGAAACGAGAAAATTTCATTTCATATATACGGTGTTTGTTGACAAATCTGGTTAGGGATACAGTTTTTGTATTCCGATTTAAAGTGTCTTGATGCTTGAAATCATTTGGATTATATCAAATCAGGTTCGGCAAGTCAAGCCTGATGTGCTCCTTGGGTTGTCTGCTGTAGGAGGTTTGTTCTCGAAAGAGGTAAGAAATTCATCTGCATCTTTCGTATTTCTTCCAACATACAAATATGTTCTCCTGGATTTATAACTTTTCCCTTCTTTTATGTTTCCTCAGTTGTTGTTAGCACAATTCATAATATGCTAACCAGATTGCTTTGCAATTATCAGGTATTAGAAGCTCTAAAATGTTCAACTTCCACAAGACCAGCAATTTTTCCTATGTCTAATCCCACAAAAAATGGTAAAACATATATTCGTTAAATATGTTACTTGAACATCTTTGTCAACTGTTTTATTGAGAGAATCTGGACTTTGTTAGCTGAGTGCACTCCGGAGGAAGCTTTTTCCATAGTTGGTGACAACATCATTTTTGGAAGTGGAAGTCCATTTAACAATGTCGATCTAGGTATGTCTTGTAACTTTCGTAATATTCCCTGCATTTCAATTTCCTCAATTTCTTTTGACATGTGCTAATGACGTGATACTGAGAACTGAGTAGACAGGTGTAGAGTTTTCCTGCTAATGAAATAAATCAGGTCTCTTTGTGAATCTTAGGGGTGATCGTTTATGAATTCAACTAGTTTTTATTTGGTTTGTTTTTTAACTATAGTTAATTTTGAAAAAAGGTGGTATGGTTAGTTGTTAGTGGATATATTAAAATAATATTTAAATAAAATAATTAAAGTTGATTTGATGTAAAGTAGGAGAAAAATGATTGGAAGTGATGGTTAGTTAAAATTATGTGAGTGAATGAATAGTGAATTAAAGTTGATGTGATGTGTAAGAATCATTGGTTGATATTATTTAATTAGATTGATAATATTGGAGATAGTGGGGTTGGGTTAAAGTTGAGTTGAATTTGAGTTTTGATTGGTTTTTTTACTGTAGAAATTATTGTTTTTATCTAAGTTTCTGTGGAATGATCAATCCTAAAAGGTGCCATTGTTTCACAGTACATTGTTTAAGGTTATGAGTGCATCGATTGAAGAATGTGCTTAGTTTCATGTGATTATAGGCTTATAGATTCAGAATTTTATTTACAGGAAGAACTCTTCTAAGACTACATATAAGGTGGTTTTGACTTTCTAATGCCGTTACTAAAATTCCCTCACACCCTTCTCCTTGCTCTCAGTGATTTAACTACATTATACATCATGTAATGATGTACCATGAATAAACAAAGAATAAAAAAATGTTTTAACTGTATTGAGAAATTATATAAACAGTGTAGAATTGTTATTATAGCAAGCTTTTTGACAAAGATATTGAGAGGGCACTGAACTTCAAATATTTTGTAATGACATTAAGAGAGTAAGAGGAGATATGTTGTTCTATACTTGTAATGACATTAAGAGAATAAGAGGAGATATGTTGTTCATTTTAGATGAATGATGGATCCATTCTAGATTGTTCAACTGTTTTTTCACTATAATCTAACTATTTTTTTTCCCCCCAAAAATGCATAGGAAACGGTCATATTGGTCACTGCAACCAGGCAAATAACATGTTTCTTTTTCCCGGGTAAGATTCTAAAAGCTCTCATCCTTGATGAACAAAATGATCTGATTAGCATTGGGACTTTTAGTTGACAAATTTTGACTACAAATCCAGGATTGGGCTTGGGACACTTCTATCTGGATCTAAGATCGTCTCTGATGGGATGCTACAAGCAGCAGCTGAATGGTACATGTTTTAACATTTAAACTTTTAAAGTTTAGAATAAGATATTAATGCGTGGGATTCTGAAAGCTGTACACACCAGCTTCTAAACTGATGGAATAAGTATGATCCATAAACACTCCATGAGTTAAATTTAAAGATAGCCGTGAGCTGTTCAATATTAGATAGCCGTAAAGTAGACTTGTAATACAATTTGTTACCTGGAGCTTGCATTTAAACAAACTTCAGGCATATGGTTCTGTAATTCACAAATGTATCCGTATAACCTTTGTTGAGTTCTAATTTAATCCGAGGCCATGAATTTTCTGGGAATTTCTTCAAAATAAGAACAAAATGCTTTTGAGTATTTCCCAGAATAGATGCAAAATATTTGTTTCACTAGCATCAAATTCTGGAGGAAGCCACTTGAAATTAGGCTACTCCATCCATGGGTTTTAAAATAAAACAGTCACATAATTCTTTGTAACTACAGCCTAGCCGCATACATGACTGAGGAAGAAGTACTCCAAGGCATTATTTACCCATCAATATCCAGGTAAACACACGACCTTACTTGAAATGCAGCCTTTATACTCACTCCAACACTTGATATTTTTCTAAAGCAAATGTCGAAAGTTTTGAAAAATCAGAATACGCGACATAACAAAGGAAGTAGCTGCAGCAGTTATTACTGAAGCCATAGAAGAGGATCTCGCAGAAGGATACCGCGAGATGGATGCTCGAGAATTGCACAAACTTGATCAGGTATTTAAAGCATCATACAAATTAACAACTCTACCTAAGAGTGGAGCGTGCATTTTATTGGAAAATATAGTATACAACTATTTGATTTCTTATCTGTTATCGACGTTTTTTGGGGCACTAAAATTTTATAGCAATACAAGCCGTCTGCTCTTTGACACGGAAAATATTAGCCCTACACAGGATACTCATTCTCAATTTCAACTTGTGTTGATACATGTTGTTTAATGGTCTGAAATTCGTTGGTTTGCTTGATCAACTTTATGTCCCAACTTTAATGTAAAAGTTTGTGTGACTTGCATCCAGGATGAAATTAGAACTTACGTACTCAACAATATGTGGAGTCCCGAATATCCCACCCTGGTTTACAAGAAGGATTGAATTTGGCTTCGGATGAGGGAGCTATTTTTTATTTTTATTTTTTCTTTTACGAACAATGTCTGATATTGTAAATGTGAACTCCTGAGTGTGTGTTGTACGAGTGAAAAAAAGGAATATTACATGACTACATGATTTGTTACAGCTCATCGGCAAGTATGTGAACTGNATAATCTTGAATTATATGAAATAAAAAGAAAGAAAACTAAAGAAAAGATTATTTATAAATATATAGAAAAGACGAATAAAAATTAAAACAATTAGATTATAATATATAAAGTTACAAAAGAATAAGAAAATAGCAAAAATAGGGTCATATAAAACAATAATATAAAAACGGTATGAGAGCAAAGCGATGATTTAAAAATAAAAAAATAATATGAGTACAAAAAAGATATATCTTGATATAGAATGGAAAATACAGATAACAAAAATGGATGTAATAAGGTATACTATGTTACGTGAAGCTATAAGTTCAAAATTTTATTATGAAATAATGCAAAAAGTGAAGAGAGGTTAAAAAGATTAATAAAAATACAAAAATAAATAACTATTGCATAAAAAAAATATAACAAATGAAAATTTTGGCTAAACACATCCCATGGGTGCCACCCGTATAAGTGGCATCGAATGAAACCTATTGGACTCTATGCGATCGAATGAACACTACTGGACTCTCTGCGATTGTACACGGTTTTTTTACAACAACATGGTATGCGTTACAAATCCAATGGAGGTGGGTGCAAACCCTAATGATGTGTTTGTAAATTCAATCTATATTTAATTCATATTCAATCTAACTTAATTTTAACCAAATCTCATTATTTTTAATATTATAAAAATAATTAAATAATAACAACCAATCATTTTTACATCTCACGTCAACTTTAATTCAATATTCATCTACTAACATAATCCCCTCCATATATAATTTCAGAATATGTTTTGTCTATGTGGCAAACTCTCACGCTTTGAATCATATTTGGCAAAAACCATTCTTTGAAGTTAGGTTTAGATATAAATTAAATTTTTTTATCACACTAAATCCATGATTTATTTTTTCCTTCTTTACTTCTACAATTAGTTACCATAAATTATTTTATATTTCTTTTTCCTATATCACCATACATTACATTTCATTTTATTATTCAATTCATTCATTAGTTATTATAAATGTTTCTTCTTCTTACTTTAAGATTTTATAACTTTTTTGTTTGTATTTTATTTTTTATATATGATATATCAAATTAACTATCCTTTAACGATTTTTGATTTGACATCCATATTATATATATAATAAAAAATAATAATATATATTCTTATAAATAAAATTTAAGTTGATTTATCAAACTAAATTAAAAGATATCAAATAAAACTATAAATTATATTATAAAGTAATAGAAATTGGTATGCATACTTTTAAAAATGATATTTGTTTCAAATCTAATTGGTATGTTATCAATCTAATAAAAATAAATAATTATTTATCTAAAGTAAAAATTACATATAAAGTTAGAAACCTGTGAAGCACGACAGATACGACACTTGATGTATTAGACATCTAATTAAGTAAAAAATAATCTTTTTTTTTTATATTAAACATACATATTTCTACACTTATGTATATACATATCACCATATTATTTCTATTTATTTAATATATATTTTTTTACTTAATAATATCAATAATTTTATATGATATAAGTAAAAAAAAAGTTGACATTTTCATTTAATATACGGGTGTTTAATTATTACAAACAACAATATACCCAGTATATTCCCAACAGGTTGGGGTCTGGGGGGTCAGTTGTACGCAGACCTTACCCTTGTAATTATACAAGGAGACTGTTTCCGTAGCGACCCAAGGTGCATTGCGCCATTTGATATATTTTTTTTTTCTAGAAACTTTACTAATAGAAGAAGCACTAGAATTTAATTGAGCCATTTTGATCTAGTCCATTATTAGCATTATGCCAGAAAAATTGTCAACAATGACTCTTTTAGCTCTATTTGCAATAGACAGGGGGTGTTTAATTATTATGATTGAAATATATAATTTGACAATTTAATTAAAGCCCAAAGTGTTTTATACAAAATTAAATTATTTTAGTTTTAAAAAAATTAATATTTTTTTATATATGTTTCATAATTCAACACCCGTGTATTTACACGAGTATTGTACTAGTATTAATTAATCATCCATTTATATCATTTTTCTCCTACTTTTACGTCAAATCAACTTTAATTATTTTATTTTAAGTATTATTTTAATATAAACTTAAAATTGCACTAACAACTAACCATACATTTTTATTTTTATTTTTTGTCAAATNCTTTGGAGTGGAATTATTTATTTTTCAAACACACCTTCAGGTGGCGGTACACATACTGGACTCTGTGCGACTGTACACACGACAACGGGGAATTTTTCTCGTCAGATGAGGATTTCATCGGCTCTGGCGAGACGTTTGCTGTCACGGCCGGGGACTGTCGCCGCCGCCGCGAATGCGGGCGGCGCCAGGTCTTTTATCACAACGGAGGGTCACCGCCCGACCATAGTTCACAAGCGCAGCTTGGATATTCTTCACGATCCATGGTTCAACAAGGTAAGGTTTGAAGATAGTGGACTGCTCTATTACCTTGTTGCTCTGGCCTTTTGAGTTAACCGCCGTTTATCGAGATGTGATGACGCTGTGTTAGTTGGGGTGTTTGTTTGCTTGTTGTTTTGTTGGAATTCGATGAAGCTCCTTCACGATTGTTTTTATTTTTTAAATTGTGTCAACTATGTTATTTGTAGTGATTGATGTGGAGCGTTTGGTTGTTGATTACAGAAATAGAAAGGGAAGTGATGGTCAGCTGGTTTTGTGATGATAGAAGAGGACAGGATTTATGATGATTTGTGATATGGAAAATAATTTGAATCTGAAACTCAATTTGACGAGTGATAATGGATCAGATGAATGCAACTAGAAATGTTTGTCCCTAACAGAGAAGAAAGTATGACTGTGTTGCGTAGTCCATGTAAAATATTTCTCTTGTTTAAGGGATAATGGTGTTGAGGATTATTATGTTCTTGGATTTAGGCAAGAGTTTTTATGTGGTATAATAAAGCCAACTTAACCTCATTTAAAATGCGCTAGGTTCGCTATTTAGCGCTTAATTGTGCAAATTGCAGCACAGCGCTTTCTGACATCCTAGAGACCAGACCTTGTTTCACATTTTCCCCCCCTCTAAGTGTATTTTGTTACATATGTATAGGGAACTGCATTTTCGATGACAGAACGTGATCGTCTTGGCCTTCGCGGCTTTCTGCCTTCAAATGTCATGTCTTTTGAACAACAAATCGCACGCTTTAGTAAGTAGTCCTCAAGCGCTTTAAGATTCTGCGTTGTTACTCTTCAATACTCAATCTGACATGTCATTAATCATATCATTTTGTTAAGGGTAAATTAATATCTAGAAATAAATCTGGCATTTAACATGAATTAGAGTTTCATTCCAATGCAGGGAATGTTTATATGCTTTCTGCTTTTGTTTGTTGTTTGGATTTCTGCAAACAATAGATGTGAGTTTTGGCCTTAATTTAAATAGCAGGAACTTGTTCAGTTATTTTAAAAGCAATGTTGGTGGTTTTTGAAGGATAGATCAAGTCTTTCAAGTCTAGTTTATATCTTAAGTTATAGCTGTATATCAAAATGGAAAGTCCTTGACTTCTGAAACATGATTAATGTTTCAAATTTCAATTGCTTATAATGATTTTATTATTTTCCTTTTGTTTACAAATCATAGTGACTGACATGACGAGGCTCCCACTAAGGAGGGTTGGGGACGGTATATCTGATCCATATAGCTTGGCTAAATGGTGCATTCTGAACCGTTTGCATGATAGAAATGAGACGATGTATTATAAGGTTAGTGGTGAAATACTTCTTGCCATAATAAGCATTTATCGTATCCTATGATGACAGTGAGAGGTGCCAATTGCCATAATGTAATGCACTAATGGTGGATATCAAACTACATAATATAATAATTCGACATATATCTATTAACCATTCTGAATCAAGCTTCTTTGCACGTGAACTTGTGCAAGATCCTAAAAGTCTATACTGTGAGTGCATTATTTATTGTGCCATACGCACTCTTGAAGGTCAATCTCTTGCAGTTCTTCTTAGGAAATTGGAGGAAGATATTTTTGGCTTGTGAACTTGATTGTAACACCATATTATGAACAATCCCTTCTAAACTCCAGCTCCAGCATTTCTCATTATTTTGATCTTATATTCCAGGTTCTTATTGACAATATCAAGGAATATGCACCTATAGTCTACACTCCTACTGTTGCTCGCGTATGCCAGAAGTACAGTAGCTTATTGAGGCGACCTAGGGGGATGTATTTCAGCGCAGCAGATCGCGGAGAAATGATGTCAATGGTTTACAATTGGCCAACAGATCAGGTTATATAGGAATGTTAATTCTGAGTCATTTTATTTTGATATTGAACAGGATAGCAGTTATTTACATATAACTGCTTTCTCGTAAAAGATCACAAATTGTACATAGGCTTACTGCATGTACCTTTTCATACATTGCTATAAAATCTACTGGCACTATAGTTAATAATAATTACTGATATTGACAACTAGGATTATATCTTCTTTCTTTAGCTTGTTTCCTTGACGGTGAATTTCTTTTAATGTTGAGACTTACTTACTGTTTAGGTTGATATGATTGTTGTAACGGATGGAAGCAGAATAATGGGTGCTGGAGATCTTGGAGTTCAAGGAATTGGAATTGCAATTGGGAAATTGGATCTTTATGTCGCTGCTGCAGGCATAAACCCACAAAGAGTAAGAACCAACCTTATTCTTTTGACTTACAGCATTGCATAAGATGCTTTATGTGCCATACAGTTTAACTAAACTGTGCTTGCTGCCAAGTTAACAAACTTTTATGAATAAAGTTTTAAACAATGAATTAAATAACAAAAATATGAGGCATTTTTTGAACTCTATAAACGATTATTTTTTAGGAGTTAAACAGGTAAACATTTAATGTGATCCCCTCTTCGAGAAACAAAAAGTTATGATGAAGGCAGGAAAATTTTGGAGATCTTTCGATAGGTAGACAAACTAAGAATTTTTCATTGTGTTCGCAATGATTTTGGATATTCCCTATGCAAATCAATGTTGTAAATAGAAAATACTGAATTGTGAAATATGTGTTTGCTATAGTTTCTTTTGTTTTCTTATCGTGGTTTTTGGTGTGTTATTAACTTCTTCATTTGCTACTGAAAGTTTGTTAAGAAGATTGTTAAGTTCTGTTTCCCTGTCCTTTTATTTGATTATGATTCGGTCAACAAAAAAGGAACTCGCGTCATTGATGGACATACACATTACCTGATAAATACCTTTGTGTTCTGTTGTCCACTTTGTAGATATGTTCTGTCAGCCTTATCCTAATAATCCATGATGAGTTTTTATCTATTTCTGTAGGTACACCCTGTCGTGATTGATGTGGGAACAAACAATGAACAACTTCTGAAAGACCCCTTCTGTAAGTATCTTATGATCATGTTAATCATGTAATGGAGAACTCTTCTAAATTGTGAATTCTTTTAAAAAATTACTCCTTTTCTTGCTTTAATATTATCAAATGAGGTCAACCCAGCGTTTTGTGGGTTCCTTATATTATTGTTGTTGTTGTTGATGGTGGTGGTGCAAATCCCATGCATCGTAAGAAATGTTCATTAATATTTATGAATTGAAAATGCTAATAAAATAATATTATAAATTAAAAATATAGAATCAAAATGTAATACAATTCACTTATATTAATTTATTGAAAATGTTACATAATGCAAAATTACATAAAACATGTCTATTTAAAATTAGTACACAACCCGTACGGTGCACGTAACAGATAATACATACATTATATTCATTTCAAAATAAGTGGCATTTTTAAATTTTTATCAGAAATTCGATTTGAGATTTGGTTACAATGTGAATCTATGAAACAATTATTGTGTTAAAATATAAAGCATGTCTATTTAACATTTGTACACAACCCGTACGGTGTACGTAACTGATAATATTTTACATTATATTCATTTCAAAATAAGTGTCATTTTTAAATTTTTATCAGAAATTCGATTTGATTACAATGATTCTATGAAACAATTATTTTGTTAAAATTTTATCATATATTTAAAAATCTATGTGAATAATAAGTATAATTATAAAAGTTATATTGTTTCATTAGTTAAAATGGATTTATTTTTGTATAAACTATCCAAATAAAAAAAAATTAACTAGTTGAGTAATTTATCAAATTAAAAATAAAATGAATTTATTTTTGTCCATTGCAAATGGAGCTGGAAGAGTCATTGTTGACAATTCTCCTGGCATAGTGCTAATAATAGACTAGATCAAAATGACTCAATTAAATTCTAGTGCTTCTTCTATTAGTGAAGTTTCTAGAAAAAAAAATATATCAAACGGCGCAATGCACCTTGGGTCGCTACGGAAACAGCCTCCTTGTATAATTACAAGGGTATTATACAAGGGTAAGGTCTGCGTACAACTGACCCCCAGACCCCAACTTATTGGGAATATACTGGGTATGTTGTTGTTGTATAAATAATTGACTATACCATTTACGTCCAAGTTAATATTGACCCGTAAGTTATGAATAATTACTTATTTGAGTTTTAAATTTGAAACCCAAATTTAGACTACACAATAAATTCTCTTATATATTTCACACACGCACATATATAATATTATATATATATATATGTATGTATACATATATATATATATATATATATATATATATTGTTTCGCAATTTTCAAGATTTGTTGTCAGTTACCTTATCGTTAAATTTATCAACTAAAGAATTTTATTAACAAATATTTTTTCAAAGATATTACTAATTTTAAAGAGGCTACCCCAACTTGGGTTTCATCTCTAGTCTACCGGGAATATATACCAATTTACCGAATTATAATAAGATATGGCAAATTATTATGAGAATATGCTGAAATTTGAGAATCATATCACCTTGGTTTTATAACAAATCAACCTAAAACTCGACTTGCATACATATACCAAATAAAATTCATACCACTTATTTTTTTCAAAAAAAATTTCAAATTCACTTCTATCCATACAAAATGAAATTCATACCATTTAAATTCCGACATTTCATAAAAAAATAAAATCTCACACTTTTATACCATAAATTCTGATATTTAATAATAATCCTACCAAAAATAAAAATGGTATACCTCAAATAAAATCGCTTACTTTATGTCAAAATTGGATTAATTAATTTTGCCAACTTTATATCATAAATTGATTAATTAATTTCTAGAGTTTAGTAATTTTAAAAATTACTAAGTTTAGTAATTTTAAATATTTTAGGCGGGATTTTAGTTTCTATTTAAGGTAAATACAAACCTTTTTCTATATATATATATATATAGATTATATATCGAGGTATTAAAATTGTAGCACTTGTTGGATTAACTTGGTAAGGTTTTAACTATTGATCTCATAGTTGTCAAGTTGTATTCATGAAGTTGGTGCAATGCATTATGTCGATAGTTGTGCATGTTGTCAAATCAGCGATTCGGAGTCGTTTCTAATTTCAACTTCATACTTTAATGCAACGGTCTTGAAATTTTATGTAATTTACATTTGTTCAAGTTATTTGAAGATTTAGGAAGTTCTTAGTGTAATAGGAACCTTCACATCCTCCCAAATTATGTCAAGCCTTTATGAGATCAAATTTCATGTCACTAAAATTATTTGCTAGATGCTATTCTCTTTAAGTTGCTCTAATGATCCATGACAATGATCTTATCACTGTTTCTTTTGCAGATTTGGGATTGCAAAAGCGCCGCCTTGACCGGGAGGAATATCTTGCAGTTATAGATGAATTCATGGAAGCTGTATTTACCCGCTGGCCTCGTGTGATCGTCCAGGTAACACTTTACTGGGTCATGATATTCTGACTAGATTGTAACGATTAATTTGTTACTAATACACATGACCAACTCTAAGTTACTAGCATGCATATGATACGTGCAGTTTGAAGATTTTCAAAGAAGGTGGGCCTTCAAATTGTTGCAGCGTTATAAGAACAACTACAGAATGTTCAGTGATGATCATCAGGTTAGTTAACGATATGTAGTTCATTTCGCTTTACTAATGGAGAATTGTAGATGAATTTTTGGGGAGATATAACGGAATTGCACTTCGCTCGTGACTGGATAAGTCCATCCATTTTCCACACTTTCCCAAGCACCTTTGCCAAGCGATCGCAAGAAGATCGTCATCATTGATTTCTAGTAAGAGTAGTTCGAGCCATCTAATTGCAGAGGCCTAGACAGGATCCACCATCATGATTCATGGCTACTCGTTAACAGATCCTCGTGTATACATACGAATACCCGCTCTGGTGCCAAATAAAATTTTGGAGAGATATAACATAATTGCGCTAACAGTAAAGAACAGTAAACACTAATTGCGGAAGCAATGTTCTACAAAACACGTCCCGCACTCCCTCCAGAACTCTTTCATATAATATAGGTGTTTGACCATGAAGACTCTCTCTTCTGAACCTACAATGTAATCACCTATACAACTACTTTTCCGACCACAAACCCCTTTTGGATTTTCTCAACACGAATTGCTCGTATTGTTTTTAAGTGTTCCTCCCGAACACTTATAATTTGCTAAAATATGAAACTGCTCAACAATGAGATTGAGAACAGGCTCGTCTCCACTTAATCAAAACAAAAATAATCACCGAAAGAATAATATCTGAAGAACAGCTCTCTTCTCCCTTTTCTTTTTCATCACTCTTGAAAATAATAATTCTCCAAGTTTTTCTTCCAATTGTGGAATCCTTTTTATGTCTCTCATTATGGTAAGTCCACCTTGACTTCAATCTTCCAAACTTAGCCGCGTCCATATTCTTGCATCTGTGCCCGCTTGTCCCTTTTGCAAGTCATCTCTACATGGTAAGTTCTCCTTCCTTCTCACTGCTCTCTATGGTAAGTGCGCGTGCGGCTGCTTCATAAGGTAAGATATCTCATTTACCTTCAAATAAAATAAATTTGAAAATAAACTAAGTGGGAGAGAATTAAATAAACTCAAGGGAATAAATAAAATATTCAAGTTAATAAAAAATTCCCTTTATCTTTCAGTACGGTTCCAGAAGACGATGAAGGTTCCCAGCTTCGGTTTAGAGTTTGTCGATTTAGTGCCAACCTTCAGAAATATTTCAGTAGACACCACCAAATGATGTTAACTCTGGTGTCAATTTGTACTTGCTATCAAGCACTGTCTTAGTTTCAGTATTGAATAAACTGATAAGAAGCCAAAGCATTTCTGTTTGATACATTATATAGTAGGAAGAGAGATTTAGTGATGAGCTGTTACATGAACTTTAATTTCTTGTGACAGTTAATTAACTAAGACAGTGAATAAACGTATCGATGTCATAATGAGGAATCACTCCAACTTTTCACACGTTTTAGTTATATTGACTTAGTGATTAATGGTGTAGAGTGTGGTTCAGTTAATTATATCTTCAAACAAATTAGCATAAGTAATCTTGGTGAGTAATATTTGGAAGTAAAACAGAGTTGTGTAATTGTTGTGGTCCTATGTAAGAATGCATTTATTAATGAAAGAAAAGAAAATTGACTTCTAGTATAAATCATTTATGTGACCAGCCTTCAAAATTATTAGTCAATTATGCGTGAGGTTGAATGCCAATATACCTATCAGGAAATAGCCAGTGTTGGTGTTGCTCTTGCCGGTCTTCTAGGAGCTGTCAGAGCACAAGGAAGACCAATGATTGACTTTCCAAAAATGAAGATTGTAGTTGCTGGTGCTCGGGGGTACCCTTTTCTCTCAATTGCTTTTAATCTTTTTTTTTTTTTTTGGGTTCAAAATACGAATCATTAAAACTGTGATTACAGTGATCGGATATGCATTCTCGATGCTGCAAGGAAAACAATGGCAAGAATGCTAGGGGACACAGATATTGCTTTTGAAAGTGCGAGGAGACAATTTTGGGTAGTTGATGATGATGTGAGTTGCTTGTTTATGATGCTTTCCTATTTATTTGAGATGTGAAGTGAGGAAATTTTTCCTTACTTGATCACTAATTAAGCAGGAACATATCTCTGAATTTATTGTGCAAAATATTTTTCAACAGCGTCCAGTAATGAACGTCTAATGCTTCTAAGATTCAGGGACTAATAACCGAGGCCCGTGCCCGTGAAAACATTGATCCAGACGCTCGTCCGTTTGCTAGGAAGGTCAAAGAAACTGAACGGCAAGGGCTAACCGAGGGGTCACATCTCGCGGATGTGGTAAGAATGTTAAACCTTCAATGTCTCTTTGGTATTTGATGTTAAACTAGTAACTGTTCTGAGTATTCTATTCTTCCACTCTAGCGGAAGTGTTCGAAAGGGTTGGCTAATGATAACTTAAGGCACTGGCTATCTCCTAAGTTAGTTGTATCAATAGAAATTTTTTAATACACCATCGTAACGTGATTTCCTATTGAGTAATGAAACGAAACTTTAGAAATTAATATCTCAAACATGGAACTAATTACCGTTGGAAAGTTCAAAAGCTTCTCTTCCTGATCACAAACCTACTTCTATATTAACAAGAGCTCTGCTTTATTGAAAAACTCCTTTCACTTTTTGGATTTCTTTGGTTGGTAGAAAACTGAGTTTAATAATGCTTCTTTTAACTCTTCTGTGATTCAACAGTTCATATCTGAATTTTCCATGTGGAATTCCAGATGTTATTCTAGATAAGTGCCCACCAAGTTTTATGTCTTATCTTACAATTATGCGGTTCTTACCATTGAACAATTTGTCCATTTTTCTGTACCGATTATTTCAGAAATATTTCAAAAATAAAAGAAAAGAAACAAAGGAAGAATTGACAGGTTATAGGATCACAACCATGTTGGCATATTCTTTTCATCATCTCCAAGTTTACTTGTTAATTTAATCTGCATGGAGACTGCTTATCAACCTGACATCAGGAACTAAGAAGTTGTTTGCACTAGTTTAAGAAGGCTAACTTACATGCAAGGGCATTTGCTGTAGAGATTTTGTCTTTAATATACTATTTTAGATGACTTCTTTTGGCAAGTGAATTTGAATAGAACCTTTTCTGGTTCTCTGTCATGTGAGTACAATTAACTTGGAAACAAGAATATTTCATTTCATATATACGGTGTTTGTTGACAAATCTGGTTTGGGATATAGTTTTTGTATTCCGGTTTAAAGTCTCTTGATGCTTGAAATCATTGGGATTATATCAACTCAGGTTCGGCAAGTCAAGCCTGATGTGCTCCTTGGGTGTTCTGCTATAGGAGGTCTGTTTTAGAAAGAGGTAAGAAATTCATCTGCATCTTTCGTATTTCTCTCTCTTACATCTAAAAATATGTTCTCCTGGATTTACAACTTTTCACTTCTTTTATGTTTTTTCAGTTGTCGTTAGCACAGTTCATAATATGTTGACCAGATTGCTTTGCAATTATCAGGTATTAGAAGCTCTAAAATGTTCAACTTCCACAAGACCAGCAATTTTCCTTTATGTGCAGTCCCTTAGTGGGTAATCCCACAAGAAGAGGTAAAACATATATATTTTTAAAATATGTTACTTGGAACATGTTTGTCAACTGTTTTATTAAGAGAATCTGGACTTTGTTAGCTGAGTGCACTGGGGAGGAAGCTTTTTCCATAGTTGGTGACAACATCATTTTTGGAAGTCGAAGTCCATTTAACAATGTCTATCTAGGTATGGCTTGTAACTTCCGTAATATTCAGTGCATTTCAATTTCCTTATTTTCTTTTGACTTGTGCAAATGATGTGATACGGAGAACTGAGTTGACAGCTGTAGAGTTTTCCTGCCAATGAAATAAATCAGGTCTCTTTGAGAACTTAAATGTTATTATCTAAATATCTGTAGAATGATGAATCCTAAAAAGTGCCATTGTTTCACAATACACTGCTTAAGGTCATGAGTGCATCGATTGAAGAATGTGCTTAGTTTCATGTGATTATAGGCGTATAGATTCATATTTCACTTACAAGAAGAACTCTTCTAAGACTACCTATAAGGTGGTTTCTAATGCTGTTACAAAAATTCCCTCACACCCTTCTCCTTTCTCTCAGTGATTTAACTACATTATATATCATGTAATAATGTCTTATGACAAAAATAAACAAATTGTTTAACTGTATTGAGAAACCATATAAACAGTGTAGAATTGTTATAATAGCAAGCTTTTTGACAAAGATACTGAGAGTGCACTGAACTTCAAATATTTTGTAATGACATTAGGAGAATAAGAGGAGAGATGTTTTTCATTATAGATGGATGATGGGTCTATTCTAGATTGTTTAACTGCTTTTTCACTATAATCAAACTTTTTTTCCCCAAAAATGCATAGCAAACGGTCACATTGGTCACTGCAACCACGCAAATAACATCTTTTTTTTTCCCGGGTAAGATTATGAAAACTCTCATCCTTAATGAACAAAATAATTTGTTAGCATTGGGGATTTCATTTGACAAATTTTGACTACAAATCCAGGATTGGGCTTGGGACACTTCTATCTGGATCTAAGATTGTCTCTGATGGGATGCTACAAGCAGCAGCTGAATGGTATATGTTTTAACATTTAAAGTTTTGAAAGCTGTACACACCAGCTTCTGAACTAATGGAATAAGTATGATCCATAATAAACACACCATTAGTTAAATTTAAAGATAGCAGTGAGTTGTTCAATATTAGATGAGAAAACGACAACACTTTCAAAATTTACAAGTACCATTGGATTCAATTCTAAAAACTGCACCCCCTTGAGAAAATTTATACGTAAAGTAGACTTGTAATACGATAAGTTGCCTAGAGCTGCATTTAAACAAATTTCAGGCATACGGTTATGTAATTCACGTAACAAACAAATGTATCTGTATGACCTTTGTTGAGTTCTAATTTAAACCAAGTGCCATGAATTTTCTGGGAATTTCTTCAAAATAAGAACAAAATGCTTTTTGAGTATTTCCCAGAATAGATGCAAAATATTTGTTTCAATAGCATCAAATTCTGGAGGGAGCCACTTGGAATTAGGCTACTCTATCGATGGGTTTTAAAGTAAAACAGTCACATAATTCTTTGTAACTACAGCCTAGCCGCGTACACGACTGAGGAAGAAGTACTCCAAGGCATTATTTATCCATCAATATCCAGGTAAACATGAACTTACTTGAAATGCAGTCTTTATACTAACAGTTGATATTTTTCTAAAGCAAGTGTTGAAACTTTTGAAAAATCAGAATACGCGACGTATCAAAGGAAGTAGCGGCAGCAGTCATTACAGAAGCCATAGAAGAGGATCTCGCTGAAGGATACCGCGAGATGGATGCTCGAGAATTGCACAAACTTGATCAGGTATTTGAAGCGGAATGTGCATTTACTTGGCAAATATAGTATACAACTATTTGATTTCTTATCTGTTTTCACGTTTTTTGGGGCACTAAAATTTTTATAGCAACACGAGATGTCTACAAAGGATACTCATTCTCAATTTCAACTTATGTTGAGACATGTTATTTAATGGTCCGAAATCCGTTGGTTTGCTTGATCAACTTTATGTCCCAACTTTAATGTAAAACTTTTTGTGACTTGCATCCAGGATGAAATTAGAACTTACATACTCAACAATATGTGGAGTCCGGAATATCCAACCCTGGTTTACAAGAAGGACTGAAGTTGGTTTAGGATGATGGAGCTATTTTTTTTTTTTTTTTCNTGTTGCCAGAAGCTGTATATATTCATCTTTCATTTTTATTTTATTTTTCTTTACGAACAATGTCAGATTTTGTAAATGTGAACTTCTGAGTGTGTGTGCGCGTGCACGAGTGAAAATAACAACGGATAGGCAAGTAGACATGGCCAACTGGCAGGCCAATTCATGACCCAACCCAGTGGGTCGCCGGGCCTCAAAACTTGGGCCCGAAGACGGCCCAGCTAAGGGCCAGTTCACTGAAATGACCCAAACCAGCAGTTCATTGAACCACCAGTTTTTTTAATAAAGAAAAATAAAAAACAATGCAAAACTGCCTTTCGGTCCGAAACTGGCGGGTTTAAAAAAAATATCAAGACCTGAAACTGGCCCGGTATTACCAGAAGTCCGGTTTAAGGACCCATACATACGGGCCGGTTCCGGGTTGACCCGGAAGTCTGGGCCGACCCTCGCCACGTCTATCGGCAAGTATGTGAATTTGTGAGTTGTGACTGACAAAAATATGTAATAATTTACTCCCTTCTTGGTGAAGAGTCGTTAGTGCTAGATATTGAATTCACTTTCCTTATTTGTTTTACTTATTTTCTAATTATTCTTCGAAAAACACAAGCAGTACAGAAAAGGGGAAAAAAAAAGCACCGCTTTTTCTGACAGGTTCAATCCTACCCGTGGCCGTGGGTTGTGAGGTTTTAGCAGTCGGATCATACACACTAACACACATACATGTAGTGTGTGTATTAATATCAGACGGCTTAAACCTGCTTGGGACACTACGAAAACTCTTAAAGCTAGAAAATACAACCTTTTCAATTTTATTTTTAATATGTGAAAAATGGTCGAAAAAGTAAGTTTCTTCGGGGCCAACCAAAAGGAAAGTCGGGTTTCCTTTCCAAAAACTGTTAAATAACAAATATTATTCCAAGGTCGCAAATAGAAAGACATAATTATTTGTATTGTAGAACCATATAAGAAAAGATTATCATCGTCTAATGAAAGACTGTAAGAATCATTTTGATGAATAATAATAATAGAAACAAAGGTTCGAATGGGATAATATATCATTATATAAAAAGAATAATCTTTTTACAAATTTAGAAACATTTTCCCGTCAAAATCATTAAATATATCCTACATATAGTAATTGTTGGACAAATATGAATAGGCAAATAAATTGGCTCATTAATTGTGTAAAAATTTGTTTCTTTTTTTCCTGATTTTTAGTTTATCAAAATCGTTGTTTGACAATAAATATTTTTTTTTTTTTTCATTTGTATAAATCTACACGAGTTTATCTCTTCTGTTACAAAATTCCATTGCATACGTTTAAAAAATCTCATCCCTTATCTATACAGATTTGAAAAATAAAATATAATAGAAACCAATTCATAATTACTACTAGAAATCCGTTAAAAAGAAAAAATAAAATAAAATAGAAATCAATTCATAATTACTACTAAAAATCCATTATCTACTTTAATAAGCTAATTTTCATCATCTAATTACTAATATTTTTACAAATATTATAATATCTACTTTAAGAAGCTAATTTTCATCAGTCTAATTACTAATATTGGGAGCTGAGTGTTAATTTAATATTGTTCTCGTGCATCGCACGGGGTATACACTAGTTACATTACAAGACCTAACTTTTTAGAATTATTTCAACTTAATGTATGAATTTAAGGCATGAATATTAATCTTTTTAGAATTGAGAATTTAAGACTCACTTTTTTGTTTTACTTCTCCATGTAATGTGCAACCAACTTTACCTTTTGATATAAATATCTAAATCATAATATTATTTTTTTATAATCTATATTTTACATATTTAAATCAAATATTTTAACTATATTTAACAATTAACTTAAATGAGGAAATTAATCAAGTTATCTTTATGCAAAAGTTTAATTAATAATCTTATTCTGTTGGGTATTTAAGAGGGATTACAATTTTGCTATTAATAATACCTCCTACACAAGTCCGTGCAATTTTTTACATATAACATCATCCTATTAGAAGATACATAGATAGACACAGATAAAAGTAAACAAAGCTAGATCATTTTCACACCCCCAGGATTTCAACACTTGAAGCTGAACTTATACAGAGAAATACCCAAGCCATCTCCTTGAATCACAAACCTTGCATCAGCATCATCGTTCGTTCGTATTTCCCACAAAAAATAAATAAATAAATAAAAACAGCTCAAATCCTTCGGTCAGACGAATATGATCCCGTTTTCCTGAATAGTGTCGAGCACGAGCGCTAGGCGGCCCTCAATCCTCTCGTTTTTCCTTGGCTCATATGCCACTGCAAACACATCAGCCTCCTTTGACCGCTCGGCAATCAGCCGCCCGATGACCTGGCAAGCTGACTCATCAGTCAATGAAGGAAGCGTGGTGCGAAGGTCACGGGCATTTGTGGTGGCAACAGCTACCACTTTGCTCGTCGCACGGTGCATCACTTTTGCGTGTATGAAGCGCTTGGAGAAGAAGATGTCCAGCAAAAAGGGCCGCATGTACATATCCGTTCTCTGCTTCCATGATTTTCTGTTGGGCCGATTCGCCAACTCCCCTCGGGACCTTCGAGTCCAGGCTGCTTCCACTATCAAACCCTAATCATTTCATATATTTATATGTATATATAAGTTAATGTTGACTTCTTAGCTCTTCGTCTTCTTCTACTTTATCCTTTTCAAAGAAAAAAGCAAAAATGCATTTTTAGTCCTGTTGGTTTAACGCCATAGCAATTTTAGTCTCAAAGTCTCAGTCCTATGAGGACTGAAATTGCAGAAAAATATTAAATTACAACAATATTTTAAGTTAAACCACCCCAAAGATATAAATTGGGAAATTGTCGCAATTTGAGATGACTGAAATTGCAACAAAATATTAAATCACAGGATCAAAAGACAAAAAAAAACTAAAATTGCTATTGCGTTAAACCAGTAGAACTAAAAATGCAATTGAGTCAAAAAATAAATAAATAAATAAATAAATAAATAGAACAAGGCCAATTCGTGTGCGTGCAGCAAGAAACTTTTTTTAAAATGTTTTGCATAAGACATTGGAATTCCCACTGAGGTAGCCTAACTGAAAATGAAGGCACGACGGAAATAAATCAAACTATTTATAGAAAAAAAAAATAAAAAAAATTATAAATTTACAACATCCCCTAGAGGTTTGGTTTAGTAGCAAGTACTACATATTGATGGTGCAACTGTGGATCGGGAACAAAAATTTTGACAGGGATAGGGTATGTGTGAAGTTGAATTGTTGATACATAGCTGCGTTTACAGTATTTCTTCATAACAATGATGGGCAAGAAATCAAAAAGCATATATATAATCATTATCTCACTAGATTTGAAGTTAACGTCACCACTAAAAAAGGAAAATCCATGCATGATTAGTAAACCTATGGTCTCCTAATCGTC